GTAATTGATGACTTGTTGGATGAATTGAAGGGTTCCAAGTTCTTCACTAAGCTGGATCTTTTGTCTGGGTATCATCAGATTAGGATGCATCCACCTGATCAGTATAAGACAGCTTTTAGGACTCATCAGGGCCACTATGAGTTTAGGGTAATGCCTTTTGGCTTGACAAACGCCCCAGCTACTTTCCAAGCTCTAATGAATCAGATTTTTGCTCCACATCTGCGCCAGTTTATTCTGGTGTTCTTTGACGACATATTGGTGTACAGCCCTGATCAGGAGAGTCATAAGAAGCATCTGGAAATCACTCTTAACATCTTGAGGGAACACACCCTGTATGCTAAGCCTTCTAAGTGTTCCTTTGGCCAAACTCAGGTTGACTACCTGGGTCATGTCATCAATCAAGAAGGGGTGTCCACTGATCCCAGCAAGGTAGAGGCAATGGTAGCATGGCCAGTCCCTAAGAGCATTAAAGAGTTAAGAGGATTCCTAGGTCTAACTGGATACTATAGGAAATTTGTGAGGAATTATAGTATCTTAGCCAAACCCTTGACAGATTTATTAAAGAAGGACTGCTTTAAGTGGTCTGAGGCAGCACAAGGTGCTTTTGAAGTTTTGAAGTTGGCAATGGTGCAGGCACCAGTATTAGCTCTGCCTGATTTTAACAAGCCTTTTGTGTTGGAGACTGATGCTAGTGACATTGGTATAGGGGCTGTCTTGTCTCAAGATGGGAGACCATTGGCTTACCATAGTCAGGGGTTGGGGCCAAGGAAGCAAGGGCTCTCTACGTATGAAAAGGAATACTTGGCTGTGTTGATTGCTGTGACTAAGTGGAGACACTACTTAGAAGGAAGGAGATTTGTGATTCTGACAGATCATGAAAGTCTCAAACACTTACTTGGTCAAAAGATTCACACTCAAATTCAGAAGAAGGGATTGATCAAGCTGTTAGGCTTGGATTTTGAGATTCGTTACAGACAGGGCAAGTTCAATCAAGTTGCAGATGCCCTGTCTCGCCATCCACAGTTGTCTAAGCAGGGCCAGTGTCAGGCAATTACAGGGGTACTACCTTCTTGGTTGGCTGAGATTGAATTGACCTATGCAGGGGATAATGCAGTACAGGACCTGTTGATGGAGGCCTCAGTTCCAGTGGTAGGACCTAAGATCTACACTGTGAAGCAAGGGCTGCTGTACCACAAAGCAGCATTGTATGTTGGAGCTGCTGGTAATATGAGGAAGCAGTTGATGCAACTCTTCCATGAGTCCCCTATTGGTGGCCATTCTGGGTTGCAGGCCAACTATCAGCGTTTGAAGAGATATTTCTGGTGGCCAGGCCTCAAACATGATTTGAAGTTGTTTGTGCAGGAGTGTGATGTATGTCAACGTTGCAAGACTGAAAATGTACCTTATCCAGGGTTGTTGCAACCATTGCCTATTCCAGACCAGGCTTGGAAGCACATCTCCATGGATTTCATAGAGGGATTGCCTAAATCCCAAGGGAAGGAGGCAGTGTTTGTAGTGGTGGACCGTTTCTCCAAGTACAGTCATTTTTTCATCTTGTCAAAACCCTATACTGCTAAGTCTGTGGCCCAGGTTTTCTTTGATGGAGTGTTCAAACTCCATGGTTTACCCCAGACCATTGTGTCAGACAGAGATTCCCTATTTACAAGCACCTTTTGGTCCACTCTCTTCCAATTGCAAGGGGTTCGACTTCACTACTCTACTGCTTATCACCCTCAGTCAGATGGCCAGACTGAGAGGGTTAACAGATGCTTAGAGGAGTATTTGCGAGGTATGGTTCATCATAATCCTCAACAGTGGGCTAATTGGGTGACATTAGCTGAGTGGTGGTACAATACCAACTACCATAACAGCTTGTAGGGTTCTCCCTTTGAAGCATTGTATGGATACTCTCCAGCTCAGTTCTCAGTCACCAATCCACTATCTACATCTGTTGCTGCTGTAGCTGATAGATTACACCAGCAGCAAAGGTTGGTTGGGATTCTCAGAGCTAATCTTGCTAAGGCCCAGAACAGGCAGAAGCAGATGGCGGATGCACACAGGACTGAGAGGGTTTTTCAGGAGCAGGAGTGGGTGTATCTGAAGCTGAGACCCTATAGACAATCTTCTGTGGCTACGAGGTCGAATCAGAAGCTGTCTCCCAAGTTTTATGGGCCATTTGAGATTGAGAAAAAGATTGGCAGTGTTGCTTATAGGCTCAAGCTTCCTCAGGGGTCTGTTATTCACCCAGTTTTCCATGTGTCTTTGTTGAAACGTGCTCGAGGAAGACAATTGACGGCTCAACCTGCTTTGCCAGAAATGGATGATCAGGGTGAGTTGAAGGTGGAACCTGCTGTCATCTTGGCAAGAAGGGTGGTTGCTAGAAGAAATGCAGCAGCAACTCAGGTCTTGGTTCAATGGACTCATCAGACTGAGGATGATGCGACATGAGAGTACTTGGATGAGTTTAAGCAGCGTTTTCCTGAATTTGAGACTTGAGGACAAGTCAATTTCTGAAGGACGAGGGAGTTGTAACACGTGTACTAGAATGTAAAGGAAAGAAGTACAAGGACCATAAGTGTAAATGGCCAATAGTATATAGGTACAGCTGTAACAGTCTAACGGTCACTGAAGAAATCCATAACAAACTTTCCCTCTCACTCTCTCTCTCTCTCTCTCTCTCTCTCTCTCTTCTCTGCCTTTCTCTCTTCTTCTTCGTTGCCGAGATCACTTTCCGATCCAGATCACCACAAAGAGGAAGGTAAGGCGCCTAGGGTTTGGGTTGCTAGAAGAGAAGAGCCGAGAGAGAGAGAGGCGACGGTTTAGGGCGGCGGCCACCGCTGATCTCTAGGATTAGGGTTTCGGTTTGGCTAGGGTTTAGCTTTTGTTTCGCTGGAGAGAAGAAGAAGAAGAAGGAGAGTGGGGAGAAGAGAGATGGCGGCGATTGTGGGATGAGAAACCAGAGGGTTTCTGGTTTAGGGAAGCAAAAACGAGTGAGAGAGGCGAGAGGGTAGGCTAGCGGCGGTCGAATTAGAAAATTAGGGTTTCGTTTCTCGTTTAAGACATTTATATGTGTTTCCAAATGTCCAAATTGCCCCTAGGGTTTCGCTGATATTACACGCCCATGCCACCGCGTTTTTGGCCATTTACCAAAATGCCCTTCACCCGATCTCTGCATTAAAAAACGAAAAAACCAAACTAAGTGTTCACCGAGATTCGAACTCGAGACTTCAGGCATATATGCAAAATTCTTAAATCATAATTAATTTCAAGAACTACTAAGAAGCAATGAATCTTTGTGCACACCATAAGAGGTTGTGTTTATCATTTCTCATAAATCATCATGCCACACTATCCCTTCAATTATTTCCTCTTTTTTTTTGTCTTGGTCTCAAAATTGATACTAAAAGAGGTACAGAGAAATAACTAAACACGTTTCTGTTACTGATTGTCAATTTCTATGATTTTTATGAAATTATCACCTAAACAAAAAAAACAAAAATCATAATGATGAAATAGTTTTATTAAATCAAGGAAAAAACGAAGAACAACTCCCTGCTAGAATTATGAAGTTCATGAGCAGAGTATCATGATGGACGTGACCTCTATATCTCCTCCCTCGTTTTCCAATGTTACATATATTATATATATAGGGAAGGAATTTTTTTTTGAATCAGGTGATGCCTAGTTGGTCCTAAGGTGTGCATCCGTTTGGTTCACCCCGAACCAAACAATAACATACTCGTATGCTAAGTAGTCCCAATAATGCAACCGATTTCGAACCAAATTATATTTTGGTTCGGTCTGGCTGAATTGAGATAGTATTCGATTTGGACCGGAAAACTCATCAAAACCAATATGTCTCTCCGATCTATATATCCTTGCCACTGACTAATTACTAAGCCCTTCTTCCCAGCCACCCACTCTAGTCTTCGTCATTATTCTCCTCTTTTCTCTCCGCCGTTTTTCCCTTTCCTTAGAATCTCCACACATTCTTTACATAATACATAAAATAAACCTACATACATAACGAATGCAAATGCTCATGTAATACTCGTGCATTAAAATATTTAATTGACTTGTATATTGTTTTCTTGAAAGGATGTTCTTATTACCTTTAACGGAAGGGGGCCCGAGCTCAACTTATCACATTACCACAATTACCAACATAATTAAACGTGATTTTATTACCCAGGAAAGAGTTCATAACCTCTTTAAAACATATTCTTACTTAGCTACTTATCAACTTGATCAATTGAGCAAACTTGCTTAAATAGATGGTCCACACGATGGGTACATAGAAACTAGCATACTTAAAGAGTAACATGCTTTGTCTTCTTTTAAAAATAAATTCGTAAATGCAATGTGTGATGTTGTGCTTTAAGAAACTAGAATATGAATATCTTAATTGCATAAAACAAATATAAATAGCATATAAAAAGATATCAATCAACTCAAATAACATGCGTAATAAATAACTCATGAAATACTATCTACCCCCATTAACTACTCACCTTACTTGTTCAGGTCGTCCATCTTGAATGAACTGAAGTCATACTTCCTCGCATTGTATGGGTTGATTCTCCATATGTTCGTGAGGATGCAATATCGATAATCTTGACCTTTAAATCTTCTTCTCCTTGTATTAATTCCCTCATTACGTTGCTTAACAACTTTCACCACTCCCATAAGGTTGTCAAAGCACATTCCGTAGTTAGTAACTATGTTAGCCACCCACTTAAACCTTGTTTAAGCCACTTAACCAAACACTAAGTGCTTTCCTGGCAATTAAGAATAGTATTGGCCAGCCAGAATCAGGAAATCCAGATCTTCTACCAAATAAAAAGAGGAAACCCGATCTTTGAATTCAAAACTTGCTCCCATTACTGTCTTGCAATTGAAGCATTTTCCCACTCTTCTCCAACCCTAAATTTCACTTCTCTTCTTTCATCTGTCTGACTGTTTCCTCTAGCGGTGGGTCTTCCTTCAATCTGGCCGTGAACATGACCGAGAATTGCAGTTTGGATCAGGATGTGCCGCTCACTTCACTCCCTTTTACTTCCGCCTCCAGAAAATGGTGCTCGATCTGTCCAGAAGGAAACCTTCCTCCTCCTCCCCTGAATTTGCTCAGCAAATTGGGAGACGATCTCCTCATCGAGATTCTGATTCGCCTCCCAAACGCTAGATCCTCCTTCCTCTGCAAATCCGTCTGCAAGCCGTGGATTCAATTGTCGCTTTATTTCACATCACTAGAGTAGGTACCAACCAGCATCTCTGTTCCTTACCGCACGCGACCCCGATTCGATCATCCTCAGCTTTATCCCTGTGTCTGCCAAAGTTCGACGGAGATTCAGAGTCATGGACTGTTTCAAAGACTTGCTTTTCTGAGGATTGCTCGAGCATGATAGAACCGAATTGCGGAGAACCTACGTGGTCTGCAATCCGTTTATGAAGCAGTGGATTGCCCTTCCTTAAGCACCTGAAAGGTCAAATTCAGGGTATGGTGAATCTTTTGCAGCATTAGTCTGTCAGTCCCGTAGTAATTTTAGTCTTGTGCATCAATTATTCCGAGTATGTTTTCCTCGTGGTGCGTAAACTTCAAATTTGCGGGTCTACAGGTTTTGTTCCGAGTCTGGGAAATGGTCGCAGAGAAAGTTTGATGATAGCATGACAAGTACAATGACCAATGTAGTCTTGTGGAACGGTGAGTTGTTTTGGTTGAATTTTGAATTCTATTCGCTTCCCAAAATCTTGTTTGCGTGTAACCCTTTCCGCCTTGATAGACCTCTCAGGCGTATGATTGTATCTCATGCATTGTGGCGTGCAATGGGGCAGGGAGGTGCCACTCTCGCGGTCTCGCAAGGTGCTATGCACATAGTTGTATTTGAAGTTGAAGGTCTATGTCGTGGTTCGAGGTATGCCTTGAGTGTTTGGAGATTGGAAGAAGATGATGAGCATTAGACCGAACATTATTGGCGCGGACTATATGAATTAATGTTGAGACCATTGGGTAAGTGTGTACTTTTTACATGTTGTGTGCTTTGTCTACATCCGGAGAAGCCGGAAATTGTCTTCCTTACATTTACGAATCCTCTTGATGGTCGTATCTACTCCTGCAATTTGAGGTCTAGGACGAATTGCGAGGTATGTATGATGGAAGCTACCTTTGTTGGGTCTAGAACAGTACTGCAACAACACTTCCCTCAACCACTGGTAATTACAGTTTGGAGGAAGCGACGAGATTGACGCGTTATCGAGTCTAGACTACAAAGCAACGACGATATACTGTTCTTGTTTGACAAGATTGATGAGGCGGCGCAGCTTCTGCAATAGTTCGTACTGGTTTTGATTTCATTATGATTAACTTCGTATATGAAGTATAAGAGAGACTATCTAATTAGAACTTTGTGGGGTTACCAATTTTAGACATTATGTTTTACTATCAATTAGTAAGGAAAGCCCGCGCTCCGCGATGGGCGGACGTTTGTGATATGTGTCGCATTATATAACAATAGGCCATAAAAGAAAAGGAATATGTAAACTAATGAAACCAACAACCCTTGCTGCATAATAATGTTCTGCCTATCCTTTTTCATTGTTACTTCAACTATAGTTTATGCTAAAGCTTACAACTTTGGAGCTTCATTTATCAATAATATAAAATGAATGGGCAAACTTCTAATACATGCCATGAGACATCATAGAGTTGAAACGTTTTTTCATGTACAAATCTCAGTACAGTTCTATATGCATAAATACCCTTATTATTATCATAGTTATACAGGGAATAATACATGCCTGGAAAATGTCAAATACTCCACGTGCAATGATATCATAAAAAAAAAATTCATTGCATCCCATAAAACTGGTTTGGCATAAGTGTGCTATCCCTTGACGCTCGTGTCCTCTTCCTAACTTGTTCCCAAGCTGTAAAATGCAGCATTTCAAAGAACCGATCAACAAATAAAACCACAAAACATTAAGGAAACAAAAACAGGTGAATTGAGATCCTAGGAAAAGGCACCGACTATAGGGACTACATTAAGAGCTTCATCTTGAAGAGCTATGACATGCAGATTACATTAAAAATTGCAGAGGCATGCCATTATTTCTTATGTTGTCCATTATGCAGCAGGGTTCACCTACAACGAATTAGAGGAGGCATGCAGCATGGAACTGGACTAAGACATGGGCATGACAGAACAATCACAGAAAGGATAAGGAACTGCATGAGAGACTGAAAGAGTAAGTACTGGTGTTTGTTGTGACCAAGTAGTCCAAGGGCGAGCAACGATTTTTTGTTTATTTGTTGTTTATCGGAAGGACATAAGGTTTACAGTGAATTTGTGATCACTGGTGGTCGGCTCGAACTGGTCTGGAAGTAGGAGAAGTAGGAAGGATCTGATGTTTGGGACAGTTGGAGTAGGGGAAAATCAATTTGTGACTCCACTGGGCATTTGTATCCTCGTATCTGCTTCAAGAACTGACCGTCTCTATCCGCTCGTCCGCCATCCGGAGAATCGTAGAATAAAACCACTTCTTCGCCTTCTGACTCCTTCTTCCTCGTTTGTGGAGAGAGAAAGTAGATCCGCACAAATGGGGAAAGAGGAAGAGTGGAAGACAGAAATGAAGGGATAAGATAGGAGAGGAAAGAGGAAGTTTGTGTGGCTGGAAAGAGTTGAACAAACAAAAGCAAACAAAAAATTTAAAAAGACCCTCAAAGTTTTATTTAGTAATGAAATGGTCACCTGGTAATCACCCCGACACTCTCGACCGAAAATTCGACACACCGAGTGTAGTTGGGTTCATTTAACTCTAAGAACCAAAAGGCATCAACATCGAATTCAACCCACTTTAATCAGATCGATTGTTTTACAATTTAGCAGCGGGTTGGATGGAAAGCAGATCGACTATTTAACAAAATTCACACCTAAACCAACCCATCAATTACAAAAGTGGCCAAAACTCGCTCTTGATCCAAATTTCATGATCACCAACTAGGTTCAAGTCTTTCTAATCCGGTCGAATTAGCATGAACACCCGTGAATTTGGGTTCAATTGTGAGAAACACTTAAATTTTAAATGACACTACTACTAATAATAATAACAATAATAATCATAAGAATAAAAAAAGAAAAAGAAAACTCTAACTTCAAAAAAATCTTAAATGGCATCAAGACGGTAGCAAAGGCAAGCGAGGCGAGTTTTTAAATAGACCAACCCAATCTGTCAATTACAAAAGCGTTTAAAACTCGTTTTAGACCCAAAATTCGTCAACACCAGGTTGAAAACCCATTATTTTATGTGATTTTTTTCATTTAAAAACTGAATTAGAATATTTAATTTTTTACTAAAAGTTAAATACTTGAATAAGTACATCAACCCAAAATTTGTCAACACCGGATTTTACTTGCTTTGAACGGGTCGAATCAGATCGAACCCGCATTGGCTTGGGTTCAAGGCCAAAACGACAAAAGATTCGTCAACACTTGATTCAACTTTCCTTGACCGATTAGATAAAGAGGGTCGTATTTTTAACAAAATCCACACCCAACCCAATTGTTTTTTTATGACAGAAGCGGGTAAAATGCATTCTCGACCCAATCCAATGATTACAAAAGAGAATAAAATTCATCCTTGCCCCCAAAAGTGTCAACATCGGGTTCTACTTGCTTTGACCGAGTCGAATTAGATCGAATACACACCCACTTGGGTTCAATATGGGTTCACTCGCAAAGCGACAAAAAATCGTAAAACTGGATTCAACTTTTCTGACTGGTATGATAAAGCGGGGTGAGTTTATAACAAAATTCACACGCGATCCGATCCATTTATTACAAAAGCGGGTAAACTTGTCCTTAACCCAAAAATGGTTAACACTGGATTCAACTTTTTTCTTAACTGTATGATAAAGCGAGATGAGTTTCTAACAAAATCCACACGCGACCCAATCTGTTGATTACAAAAGCGAGTAAAACTCATCCCCGACCCAAACTTTATTAACGATAGATTCAACTTGATAAAGCGGGACGAGGTTTTAACAAAATCCACACCCGACCATTTCGTTAGTTGCAAAAGCGGATAAAATTCGCACCTGACCCAAAATTTGGGTTTATTCATAAGAGAAAATATCTAAAACATTTGATGAATTATAAAAAGTTTAATAATAAAACAATTCTAGTTGATGTGGCTTTACCAAATAGTAACTTTTGTGCTTGTTCTTTTAAACTGAAAAAATTAGGTCAAATATCTATTGATTTAAGCATGTAAGCAAAAAGCTCGTCAACGTCGAGTCGAACTCGCTTTAATCGGGTCGACATTATGTCAAATACTAAGTGTGTAAGCAAAAACTCTATCAGTTGATTTACGCGTGTAAGCAAAAACTCTATCCATTGATTTAAGCGTGTAAGCAAAAACCTTGTCAACGTCGGGTCAAGCTCGCTTTAACCAAGTCGACATTTGGTCAAATACCCGTTGATTTAAGCATGTAATAAAAAACTCGTCAACGTCGGGTCGAACTTGCTTTAACAGGGTCGATATTAGCTCAAATACCCATTTGACGGGTTCAACTTGCTTTAATAGGGTCGAAGCAAGTTAAGCATGTAAGCAAAACCTCGCTTTAACCGGGTCGACATTAGGTCAAATACCCATTGAGTTAAGTGGGCAAAACTTATTGGTGAGCCAAAATTTATCAACACCGGGTTCAACTTGCTTTAGCAGAGTCGAATTAGATCGAATACCCATTGATTTTGGTTCAGTCTCGGCTCAAGTATCATTATTTAGTTAATTGGAACATTAATAGAAACTTAAAATTGATTTAAGCGGGCAAAACTCATTGGTGAGCCAAAATTCGTCAACATCGAGTTTAACTTGCTTTAGCCGATTCGAATTAGGTCGTATACTCATTAATATCATTAGTTAATTAATTGGAACCTTAATAGAACCTTCAATGTAAAAAAAACCTTCAAACTTTAATAGTTAATTAATTGGAACCTTAATAGAACCTTCAAATTGATTTAAGCAGGCAAAACACATTGGTGAGGCAAAATTCATCAACACCTCGTTCAACTTGCTTTAGCCGATTTGAATTAGGTCGAATACCCATTAATTTTGGTTCAATCCCGGCTCAAGTATCATTAGTTAATTAATTGGAATCTTAATAGAACCTTCAATTTGAACTTAGTTGTCACAAAAAACCCTTTAAACTTTGGTCAATTACAAAAGACCACCTCTTGTGATGGGACACTATGCAATAGTAACCTTCTACTTGTTGCCTTCTACGGTACCTAGGGTAAAATTCAGGATACCGCATACCTTGAATATGAAAACTCTATCTAGACCTCGAATTAACAATATTTTTGGTCATGATATTATCCCCTAACCCTTAATGAGTGAACCCTAGGTCCTAATTATCTAAATCATAAACTATAAACCCTAAGATGGTGCATTGATTTTTTGCCTATATTTGGACGAATCATAACCGTCGATTATTGTTACTAATTAAATTAATCTTGGGATATAAGATTTAGAGAATTAAGATATAGATATTGATCTTTAAGGGTTAGAGTATAATATCATGTCCGAAAGATCAGTCAATTCAAGTTCTGGATAGCGTTTTCTTACTCAAGGTATGCGGTACCCCAGATTTCTCTTTGGGTATCGTATAACTTCCCAAATATATATGGTGGCGTATTCTGTGCACCCACTTTTTCGGGTGCACTCAGTGCACCCGCCTCATAATTGTCATTCTGAACATGCGATTCATATCAAAACGGTATCATTTGTTGCTTATGATATTATGAACAAGAAGCACATGAATTTGAAAAAAAATTCATTCAAAATTTACTTTAATTCGAAGGATTTAGGGTTAGGGTTTGGGATTCAAAATTGAAGGTTAAGGGGTTAGGGTAATAGATTAATTTGTTATGATTCTAAGTCATATCATCATATTAGATTGAGAG